CGGGCGCTGGGGGGCAGTGCGGGCCGCAGATCCGCCCCTGCTCCGCGGCGGGGGCTGACTCCAGTGTGTGTCCCCGCCCGGCGCTTCTTTCCCGACCGGGCGACCCTACAATAACAACCCGACCTGTGCTGCACTGCCCACGGTAACAAACTGCCTTGCAAGCGTCTCTGAGGGGGCTGGGGGCCAGGACGCCTGGGGTCCACCCCTAGCGCTAGGAGGTGATGGGCCCTAGTGGTTAAAGCCAGGATGCCTGGGTTCCACCCCTAGCTCTGGGAGGGGAGTGGGGCCTAGTGGGTAGAGCTGGGAGCCAGGGCACCTGGGTTCCATCCAGTCTCTGCCAGAGGAGTGGGATGTAGCAGCGAGAGGGGGGGGTCTATTCCCACGACAGCGTGCCACCGATAACATCCACAGCTATTAATTCTCTCCCATTTAAGTCCTCGGGTTTGTACAAGTAATAGGTAAAGAAACATTGCAGTTACTTAGCAACCTGCTCCGCTGTGGGGAGCGGATTGTTTGTGGCTGGGGGGTCCCTGGGCACAGGGGGGGGGGGTTAGAACCCCCACAGATCTGCAGTTATCTGCACGGCTCCCTACAGGAATATTCACGGGCCGGATCCCAGCTGGAGAACACACCCGTGCAGCTATGACTGACAGACCTCCAAGCTCCTCTGGCGGAAAAAGACACCTCTACCTGGCGGGGCAGACTGTTTCCCCCACACGTGACCAATCGCCTTGTTCATTTTGAGGTAATTCCCCTCCCCCTGCGACTGTTAGCGATGTACAATTTCCTGGTTGCAGGAAACAAGGGGGCGATCAGGTAAAGGCGGAGCCAGATAAGACGCGTGGAACGGCAGGTGTTGAGATGCAAACAGGTCGCGCTCTGAACCCAGTAAAACAACTTGTCAATATCGCGGTGCCAAAATGTGCTCCCAAAAATCCATCTCCGGAAAGGTGTCTCTAAGAAGCAAGTTTCTTACTTTGTCTCTCGATTTTGATGCGCACCAATGGAAATTGTGTGTGAAATCTGCATTGACAGACCAAAAGCTCATCCTCCCTGGGTTAACGAGAGATTTCATCTCTAGCTGCAGACAGACACAGAAATGTCTTAAGAGAGCTTAAGAGCTCGTTAAAGACACATACACCTGTCTCTCAAAAAGTAATAGATTTCATAACTATACCAGACCCCCACACAGAGCTGGGTATATTATACATTTCATAGCTCGATATATATTGTATAGTTCTCTGCAGAAACATACACAAAGTAACAGATTATATAGTTCATAGGTCTCTCCAGAAATGCACACATTTAGAGATGGATAGATCCGTTTTCGAGATTTCAGAGCAACACAGACACACACATAGAGATATGAATTTACACAATAAATTGCAACACAAACATACACAGACACCAATTAGTAGTCTATTACATTCCTAGACCTATCAAAAATGCTGGAAAGTTTTCTATAATATTGATAGAGGCATGTGGATCTAAGCCTATAATCTAGAGTCATACGAATTATGTTTCTTGTGTTATTAGCCACAGCTACATACAGAAATCGACACAGAAATCTGTGACTGTCATATTCATAGATCTACACACACACCTAGGAACGCCTAATAATTATGTTCCTTATTATAATATATTCCTCGAGCAACACATCTAAGACTAAAATGTAAGACAGGAGCTATGTATGTCTGCCTGTGTCCCTACCTCATACGCTCAAATATGTATTTACGTGTAGTTATGAATATTAAAGTTCCCTAGCATAGCCAAAGTCATTAGATGGTGTAATCTGACACCCTGCATCACAGGCCAGAGAATTCCTTCTAGTCGCCTTGGGACGTAGCCCAAAGACGTCACTTAAAGAGCTGAAGAAGAGCCCCATGGAAGTGCCTCTCTCTCCCTAACAGAAGTTGGTCCCGTGAGAGATATTTCCTCGCCCATCTTCTGTAAACTCTGGAGAACGGGGGAAACCGAGTCCTCAGCAATACCCCTGCCATAACAGGTATTTGATAGATCCAGACATACACCCCTGCTACTGAAAGCGCCCCTGCCCAGTCCCATGCCTCCAGCTCTGACCAACCCCAGATGCTTCAGAAGAAGGTGGGAGGAAAAATAAACCAAGTTCCACAACCTCCCCAGGCAACTTATCCCAGTGTGTCACCCCCGACAGGCAGGAAGTTTTTCCTTATGTCCAACCTAAACCTCCCTGGCTGCAGTTTAAGCCCCATTGCTGCTTGTCCCGTCCTCAGAGGCCAAGGGGAACCATTTTTCTTCCTCCTCACTCTGACACCCTTTTAGATACCTGGAAACTGCTTCATGTCCCCCCTCAGTCTTCTCCTTTCCAAATTGAACACACCCAATTCTTTGTCTGCCCGCCCAGCTCCTGTTCCCTAGACCGGCCATCAGTCTTGCTGCTCTTCTCTGGACCCTCTCCAATGTCTCCACATCTTCCTTGAAATGTGGTGCCCAGAACTGGCCACAATCCCCCAGCGGAGGCCTGACCAGCGCAGAGCAGAAGAACGGCTCCTCCTGTCTGGCTCACAACACTCCTGTCGGTGCCTCCCAGGATCATGTTTGCTTGTTTTGCAACAGCATCACGCTGCTGACTCATGTTTAGCTTGTGGGCCGCTCTGACCCCAGGCCCCTTTCTGCAGTTCTCCTTCCCAGACAGTCGCTTCCCATTGTGCGTGTGACACGGATTGGTCCTTCCTAAGTGGAGCCCTTTGCATTGGTCCTTATTAAACTTCACCCCATTGACCTCCGACCATTTCTCCAGTGCGTCCAGATCAGTTTGAATTCTGACCCTGTTCTGCAAAGCACTTGCCACCCCTCCCAGCTTGGGATCATCTGCAGACTGAGTCAGCATCCTCTGTGTGCCAATGTCTAACTTGCTGAGGAAGACACTGAATAGAACCTGGAATGGGACTGTGTCTCCTCAGACGGCAAGGGAGGGGTCTGGGAGCAGGGGCAGTGATACCCCAGAATGACCACAAGGGGGCAGCAAGTGCCCCAGCCCCAGAGAGCGGCTGCAGGCCCGGCAGCAGGGACCCCCCCGCCCAGGCTGGCCCTGGGGAGCCCCCTCCCACCTCCCTGCTCTGACCTCTGCGCCCTCACCCCTCCTCCCACCCCATGCTGACTCCTGCACCCCCAGCCCTCTGCCCGGAGCCCCCCCCAACTTGCAGTCTCTGCCCTGAGCCTCTCCTTAAGGACCGGAGCAACACCAGGTCAGCGTGTTAGCAAAAGATAAAGGATAACCGAGTAACAACAAAAGTTATTAACGTAACCCCATGAGCATCTATTCCTAGAGACGGGTACATTGGCTCTCCCTAGGCACACACCCGGGTAACACACATCACAGCACCTTGCTCCTGTGGCGCCTGCAGCACTAGCTGTGCGTCTGGAAAGAGACATCAATAGACAGGTCCAGGTGTGCTCCTAGCGCGACGGTAGGACAGCACTGCCTCCGAGCACGCGCCGCCTGTCCCTCCCAGTGTGTGGGGTACTCACAGAAATACCTACAGTGTTATTGACTAGTCTGTATTAAATCCAGAGATACATGCACATTCTTTCGTGTGTAGATACACCTAATAATATGTGCTGCAGGACCAGTCGTTGTTTTTTAAGCTTTTACATAATAATCTAATACTCGCTGGTACTTGTGTAGCTATTGATTTATTAATAATAATATATTAATAGATTAGTATATTCTTGTGCAGACTCTGATTATAAAGTTCAGAATATAGCTATTCATATTATATTTCAGATACAACAACAAGAAAGAAAGAAAGAAAGAAAGAAAGAAAGAAAGAAAGAAAGAAAGAAAGAAAGAAAGAAAGAAAGAAAGAAAGAAAGAAAGAAAGAAAGAGTGTTTGGATGTAGGTAAGTAGGTAGGTAGAGAGAGGGGTGGGGATAGATAGATAGATAGATAGATAGATAGATAGATAGATAGATAGATAGATAGATAGATAGAAGAGCTGTCAATTAATTGCAGTTAACTCATGCAAATCACTCACAAAATTAATCATTTTAAAAAAGTAATCATGATTAATCACAGTTTTAATTGCACTGTTAATATGAGAATACCAACTGAAATTGATTATAAATATTTTGGATGTTTTCTACGTTTTCACATCAATGGATCTCAGTTACCACACAGAATACAGGGTGTCCACAGCTCTCTCTATATTTCTATTTTTTATTGCAACCAAAGAAAGAAGAGAAATGGCGTTTTCCGTTCGCCTCACACAGGGTGTCGGGGAACCCCTCTGCCCTGCAAGTGCCACTTACCAACGTGACTTTTTTCCTTTTTGGTCACATGACTGCCCTCTAACCCAGAACAATGCCCAAGTGCCGCGCCTGCAAGGCCACTCAGTCCTACGTCCGGTGCAGCCAATGGCTCAGACACAGAAGTGCGTTTGCACAGCGAGAGCAGGCATCCACCTGGCCCAATTGGAGCCGGCTTGGCAGGGTTTTTCCGTGCCAGATGTGCAGACCAGGCATGTGGCCCTTCATATGTCAGCCACCGTTCCAAAGGGCGTGTCCATGCCGAAGAGAAATAACGTTCCACAAATAAGGCATGAAGAGGCGTGTTGTGAGCCAGACACGAGGAGTCATTCTTCTGCTCTGCTCTGCTCTGCTCTGCTCTGCTCTGCTCTGCTCTGCACTGATTGGGCCTCAGACAGAGTCTTGTGTCCCGTTCTGCGCACCACATTTCAGGAAAGATGTGGAGACATTGGAGAGGGTCCAGAAAAGAGCAACAAGACCGATGGCCGGTCTAGAGAACCAGGAGCTAGGAGGGGAGGCTGAAAGAACTGGGCTTGTTCAGTTTGGAAAGGAGCCGGCTGAGAGGGGACGCGATAGAGGTTTTTCAAGAATCTAAAAGGGTGTCAGAAGAGAATGGAGAAAATTTGTTCTCCTTGGCCTCTGAGGACGGGACAAGCAGCAATGGGCTTAAATTGCAGCCAGGGAGGTTTAGGCTGGACATTAGGAAAAACTTCCTGCCTGTCAGGGTGGTGAAACACTGGAATAAGTTGCCTGGGGGGTTGTGGAATCTCCGTCCCTGGAGATATCTCAGAGCAGGTTGGACACACGCCTGTCAGGGATGGGCTAGACCAGTGTTTCTCAACATTTTTGTTATAAAATGCCCCCCCTTTTTAATTCTGAGTACCCCCCGTACCTACAGCTTTCAGACACGCACAGTTGTTTTCTACCAGTGCAACACATTTGTTTAAACAACTTTGTCGTAGCCGGGCGGGCGATGGCCTTTTTGGGCGTAAAAGGGAGAAAAATACGAAAGCGCCGTCAAACTTCAAACACAAATTCCGTTTTCTCCACGTTTCAGTTGTGCTGACGGACCCCCCGGACTTCTCTCAAGTGCCCCGGAGGGGACTCGTCCCGCTGGCTCCAGACGTTACCGGGTCCTGCCGGGAGGGCAGGGGGCTGGACTGGACCTCGCGAGGTCCTTTCCCGATGCAGGGTTCTAGGGTTGGTTCCACGTGTAGCTGACCTGCGTGGGGACGAAGGACGTGTCTCCGGCTCTGCTCCACCCGCATCCTGCCATGTCTCGCGTGCGGGAGCAGCCTGGCGTCTGAGCCAGCGCACGCTGCTTTGCAGAACACGTTCCCGGCAGATTTGACAGGACGCAGAGAGGAGCCAACAGGCGCTGTCTAAAGATAGCCGCCGCGCTCCCCCAAGGCTCCCGAATCCAAAGCACCTTCCAAAATTTGCGAGGGACGAGGCGGGGAGCCTGCTGGCAGGCGTCTTAAAGGGGCAACGCTCCCATGCGGAAGCCACCCTCCCCGAACCTTCCAAAGAAAAAAAATCCACCTTTGTGGGGGGATTTGCAAATGAGCACGCCTCCATCTGTTCAGCTTCGGAGCGTTATCGAGCGGCATGTCTCCTCCGCGCGGAGGCGTGGCCTCTGGAAAGGGGTCGGCGGAAAGTTTAGCGCCGCCAGCACGTGACTCTCTCACACGCCACCGGCGATGACCGTCTCAGACAACCGCCTGCACTCGCTTCCTGGTGCCGCTGTACGTAAGGAGCGGGCAGGGTTCTTGCCCCAAAATGTAAAGGCACTTGTTGGTCTGAGCAATTGGCTGGACAAGATGTAGGACTGAGTGGACTTTACAGCGCTAATGTCGGACGTTGTTTCAGTTTGGGGGGCAGTTATGTAACCGGGAAAAGCGCCGAGTGGCTAAGTTGCACTTTCGCGCGTGAGAGAGAGATTGCCCTAGAGCGCTGGTGTGATGGGAAATGAAAAATACCGTTGCTTTTGCTTCTTTTTTTTACAGCGCAGTTATTTGTAATAAAAAATCAACTCTATATCTGTCTGCCTAAGAACTCCTCCCAAACGGTAAGAGCTAGCACTACCAAATTCGGAAGGCAGCTCCCTTTTATCATCATAAGAACATAAGAACGGCCGTACTGGGTCAGACCAAAGGTCCATCTAGCCCAGTATCCTGTCTGCCGACAGTGGCCAACACCAGGTGCCCCAGAGAGGGTGGACCGAAGACAATGATCAAGCAATTTGTCTCCTGCCATCCTTCTCCAGCCTCTGACAAACAGAGGCCA